GAAAGGGATCTTGGAGTTATCGTGGATCGTGGACAGTTCTCTGAAAACTTCCATGCAGTGGTGGTCAAAAAGGCAAATAGGATGCTAGGAATTATTAGGAAAGGGATAGAAAATAAGACCCAGAATATCCTACTGCCCCTGTATAAAAATATGGTACGCCCACATCTTGAATTGGAACGGGTCCCATATGAGGAGATGTTAAAGCGACTGGGACTTTTCAGTTTAGAAAAGAGGAGACTGAGGGGGGATATGCTAGAGGTTTATAAAACCATGAGTGGTGTGGAGAGGGCTGATAAAGAAAAGTTATTTATTAGTTCCCTAAATAGAAGAGGAGACTGAGGGGGGATATGATAGAGGTATATAAAATCATGAGTGGTGTGGAGAGAGTGAATAAAGAAAAGTTCTTCATTAGTTCCCATAATATAAGGACTAGAGGACACCAAATGAAATTAATGGGTAGCAGGTTTAAAACTAATATGCGAAAGTTCTTCTTCACACATCGCATAGTCAACCTGTGGAATTCCTTGCCAGGGGAGGCTGTGAAGGCTAGAACTATAACAGAGTTTAAAGACAAGCTAGATAAATTAATGGAGGTTAGGTCCATAAAAGGCTATTAGCCAGGGGGTAGGAATGGTGTCCCTGGTCTCTGTTTGTCAGAGGCTAGAGAGGGATGGCAGGGGACAAATCGCTTGATCATTGTCTTCGGTCCACCCTCTCTGGGGCACCTGGTGCTGGCCACTGTCGGCAGACAGGATACTGGGCTAGATGGACCTTTGGTCTGACCCAGTACGGCCGTTCTTATGTTCTTATGAGTCTTATGAGTGCTGACAAAATACTGAGAGCAACTCCTCCTTACTGAGGGCACTGCTGTTTTACTCCAGTGGTGGATCTGGTCCTCCAGTAAATTAAAAAAAAGACTTGTCATCTCTGGGGAATGTCAGGAGCACAACACCCACCGAATATCAGCTGGAATGCTTCAGCCAGGCACACTGACAGGGAAAGAACACTGTCACCTCACCTCCTCGCCTAGTGATGTGTGTTACCTCAGGATCACAGACAGCCCTGGGTACAGAGCAGTTTGAAGGTTCAGCATCTCTGTACCCACTAGCTCTTGCTCTGATAGCAAGGGCCACTAACTCTTGGTTAGCATGGAGGCAAAGGCAACTGGGATTCCGTGGGACAACTTCAGAAAAATAAAAGAAGCAAAGGGAGCAGAAGACTAAAAAACCAAACCTTTTTTCTGGGCAGGGCTCGTCCCTGAGGCTAAAATTCGCTTGTCATAATTAAGCCCTGAAATGACACATTCTCCGTTCAAGCCTTAACTGTCAGTGGAAAGGAGCAATGGGCTGTAACAATTAAAAGCCAGTTAATTGGCAAAAGAGCTTTATCTTAATGACTCCAAAGGGTATAATCTGTTACAGGAGGAAAAGCTCTGAGCCTGTCATGGTCTGGAAATGTCAAACACAATTGAGATAAATCTGGGTACCCACCCCCTCCCAGAGATCCAGTGATGGGCCAAGTCTACATGCGATCTAGCCCTACCGTGGCCCTCAGTGGCCTGCAAGAGAACAAGAAAAGGGGTTCGCCAGATACCTGGTTGTGCTAGGGTTTCATGCGGAATTACTGGAATTCAGCTGCCTCGCCTACCCCTTCACCCATGAAGCACAGAGGAGCAGAATGTGAGAAAAGGAGGGCGGGAGGGGAAGGTAATGGAAAGTTCTGGGCATTACTCGGTGCACATTTTGTTCCAGTTTTTCAAAACGCTTAGCTCCCAGTTAGGTCCCAGTGTAGCTTTTGTCATTCCCACGGGGGCACTTTTAAAAATCTGGCTCTTTGAGTCTGGGCTGAAGGTTTGCCTGGACTATGGCTTTTACTGCCTCTTCTTGGTGGAGCGTTCATCACGCTTGCTCTGTGGTAGCGACAGATGGTTTGCAAAGATGGGGCACTCAGTCTGCTCTGACTTTCTGCTCCTTTTCCAGAACAGGGCTGAGAAGTGCAGACCAGCTCCCCTGCCCGGGCAGTATGGCCGCTGATTTGTCTTTCATTCTGTTCCACAAGGTGCCAGCTGCTCTTGAAACAAACGATTGCAGTGGCTTATGGTGATGGCTTTCCTCCTCGATCTCTGCAGAAAGAAACATGTCCTCCTGAAACTGTCGAAACTCCTCCAGAACCATCATGAAGTAAATTGCCTCAGGAGAGACTCTAGAATGAGGTCAGAGCTGAGTCCAGAGTTGCTTCTACCTCCCTACTGTAGACTGAAGCATGGAGAGTGAGACCCTGGGAGCTTTAGGTTTCTGCTGGGAGGGGACACAGAAGGTGCATGGAGTTTTACAGGAATCCCACTTGAGTTGCACTGAGGCATAATAATTCACTGAAGGGTGCAAGGTGAGGTGTCTTCTGAGGCTTAGTAGCCCATTGGTCATTATAATCATTGCAATAGATGTGCATGGATAATATTTCAGGTGATATAGAGCTATGCCGATAATTGTGCTTTTACAGTATGGGCATTAAGGCAGGTTGCCAGACAGTAACTAAATGTCCTTTTCAGACAGGAGGTAGTAGATGCTTATCCCTCCATCTGGTCATGTGTGTCTTGTGGATTGTATGTCTTATAATGTCTTTAGGTACCGAGCCAGATACCAGGCATAAGACTGACTTCTACAAGAGAAAAAAACTCACAGGAAAAAGTAACCTAAGGGGTGATGTCCTGTTTCTGACTAAACTCAGTGGATCAGTCTGGCATTTCCGGTAATGCCAGGAAACACCCAACATCCTACGTCTTCGAGACAAGCAGGCAGTGTGTTTTGTCTCATGATAAGGGGATCGCAGCCTGCCTGCTGGAAAGCATCAGTGAGCAATACACTATTAAACAGGAGAGTATCCTATCAATTAAGTCCAGAGTCTACAAAGCAGCTTATGATTTTGTTTTAAATGGAAACAGATTTGCTTCCAATACTTCAATTTCCTAGCGCTCAAATCTCCGGCCTTTGTTAAATGAACTTTTATTTGCTTTCACTATAGGCTTATTGAAGCGCTGTGCAGGAAGAACCCTGCTCCTATTGTATAGGAGTTACTATAGAGAACTCTCTGGGTGTCTGGCTGGTGAGTCTTGCCCACATGCTCAGGGTTTAGCTGATCGCCATATTTGGGGTTGGGAAGGAATTTTCCTCCAGGGTAGATTGGCAGAGGCCCTGGAGGTTTTTCGCCTTCCTCTGTAGCATGGGGCACAGATCACAGCTGGAGGATTCTCTGCATCTTGGGGCCTTCAAAGTATTTGAAGGCTTCAATATCTGAGAGATAGGTGAGAGGATTATTCTAGGAGGGGTGGGTGAGATTCTGTGGCCTGCGCTGTGCAGGGGGTCAGACTAGATGATCATAATGGTCCCTTCTGACCTTAAAGTCTATGAGTCTGACCTGAGGTGGAACTGGGGTGTAAATACTGACACTGTCCAGCAGAGCAGGGGGATGTTTTAAAGGCTCTGGGGCTGGAATGCACCTATATCTGTAGAGACACAGTTGGGCCTTCATAGTTCGGGGTGGGGGTGCTTGTGTTGCCTGTGGAGTTAAGGAGCTAACCCTTCTACAGGCATGGACAAGCCCCCAGAAGAGTCTGAGAGAAGCAGAGAGCGGGAAGTTCCAGGAGTGCTGTTAGAGACTGAAGAGACCCCAAAGGTAAAGCCTAAAAGGTTCTAAAACAGAGGTGGGGAACCTCAGGTCTGGGGGGCTGGATGCGGCCCCTGGCTTGTCTGGATCTGGCTCCCGAGGCTCAAGGTACCCCCCATTGGGGATGGAGTACACCAATCTACTAGCCTGGGCCCCTCTAGGCTCTGGTGTGCGAGAGGAGCGTGGAGAATGTCTGTCTCCTTCTCAGTTGGGGGCCACGTCAGTGAGGGCTTGGTTGGTTGTTTTACTTCTCATTTGTGTGCAGCCCCTGACTGATTTTTCTGTGGGTCAGCAGCCCCCGACTCAAAGGTTCTAAGAGGAGGAGCAGACACATGACGCTGCTGGAGAGCTTTGTGGTGAGGTGAATGAGAAGAGTTTTCTTCCTGCTGGGCGGTGAGGTCCCAAAGAGGCTACTGCCATGTGTGTCAAACCAATGCTGATGCCAGGGCCTCCCTGAGGATTCAGGGGGCCTGGGGCAAAGCAATTTCGGGGGCCCCTTCCTGGCACTCCCTGTCTCAGACCTCAGACATTCTTGCAGGGGCCCCTGCGGGTCCCAGGGCTTGGGGCAAATTGCCCCACTTGCCTCCCCCCTCCCCCCCCCGGGGCAGCTCTGGCTGATGCACAGGCATGACACACCCAGCACTTTCCTTAATCTTAGCCAGTGTCTCTGTTCTTCCCCGAAACCCAGCTCAGAAGCCATGTCTGACCTTTCCCAACATTCCCTCATCCTCACCAGAGGCACAAGCTAGCTCCCGTTCAAGAGTTTGCGCCAAAATGCATTTAAGGGAACGCTGCCTTCGGATCAGGCTTTGCGAGGAGTTAGAGTGAATGCCGAACTGCCTCAGCAGTGTGCTGAGGGCCTGGCGCTCTGTGGCACCAAACTCCATTCCATGGCTTTCGTTGTCCCCAGACAGCTTGGTCTCTAGTTGGCCCAGACAAAGAAATGAGCTACCGCCTTTCTGCTCATTGCTCCTTATCTCTCATCTCTGTGGCCTTTTAAAGGGTCTTTCAGTTGCCCTTCATTGGGACTGCAAGGAAATGCTATTCTCACAGTCTGATCTCTGCGATTGAAACCCACAGTCTCCATTAGAAAAAAAAATCAATATTTCCTTCTGTGCACCCCGCACTGGGTAACAAGGGGTTAACCCTGCACTGAAGGCTGAGAAAGCCACACCCCTTTCACCTTACTGGGCATGCCCCAGGTGTATGGATATAAAAGAGAGCAACGCAGCTCAGTTGGGGTTGACTGCTGGAGGGAGAGGACATATACGGCCTGCTCCAGGCAAGGCCCATTGGAAACTCAGGCCAGGAGATGCCACAATCCAGGCTGAAGGCAGAGGCCTCATGGAGTTAGGAGGCACCAAGGAATGGGCCATCCGTGGACCAGGAAGGTGAGATGGAGGCCCGCACCACTGCTGTGAGGATGATGGCAGGGGAAGGTGAGTAGGCTGATGCCGGGGTGTCAGCATGTTCTGGCAGGAGCTTTTCCCTGTTGACTCAGTGGCTGATGCTCCAGCCACTAATAGAACTCTGGGCCATGGTTCAGTGGAGAGGGAGGCACTGGACTGCCCTGCCTGGGGATATAACCCCCTCTGTCTCCGCCCCTAACCAGAAAGCCATACTTCCCTGCAAACGGGGACAAGTTTCTGGACTCTGGCCACTGGGCTGTACTGCCCTGAGAATGGGGGCGAGTTTACAGGCTTGCACTCTTTGGCCATACCACGGCAAGATTGAAGGCAAATCTATAGATGTGCGTTGGCGAGACCTAAGCAAGGAACTGCACAGAGGAGGTGGGCGCACTCGCCCACCCTGGGCGTGGGCTTCCCCAGCCATGTTACACCTTCCAAGGAGAGGGTTGCTGGGTTAAGCAGCATCTCCCATCAGCCTCCCAGTTACAGGAGGATTCTTGTTTCTGCATCTCATTACCACGGTGAGACCACATGAGCTGTGGGGTAGGAGCTGCGGGAACATCTCGATGCATATTCCTAACTTTCATCTCGGTGTTGGCCTGGTCCCAAGAGCGCTCAAGTCTCACTGACATCAGTGGGAGCTCAAAGCCCACTTAGTCCTTTGCAGGAGGCTGCGTCTTGCCAACACCGGCCCACCTCTCTGTGTCCAGCCATCTGTGGCTAGCGTCTAGGCAGAGCCGAGCAGTGCTCTGGATGGACACTGAGAACTGCCCCCGGGAATGTGAGAACACACAAGGGGAACTTTCCACTTTCCCACAACGTGTCTTCTGTTTCAGTGACTAAACTGCAGCGACACTTTCCCTGCTCGTGAAAGCCCGATCTGGCTTCTGAAGCTGTGGCCAGACAGCCTGCCTCCATATTATCCATCTTATTTGCCTCTCTAAAGCACAGGGCAGAGAAGGAGCAATAATATCAGCATAGTCTATGCTGGCTCATCTGATCCTGAGAAGCTGAAACACAGATATGTGGATAGAGAAGCAGCTAAGTCAATAAGCTGGCCTCGAGGCTGCGGCTGGCATCTATGTTGATTCGAACACACACAGTCCCAGGAAGAGGAATTTCCCACTGAGAAAACAATGTCCTGTACTTCAAAATTTAATCATCTCAAATCTCTCTTACAAGTGTAAATTAAGTTCACAACTCCCTTGTAAGAACTGGTCTCACAGCAGACAGACCAGCATCAATTGGCAATTAAGATAAGAAAGAGAAATACGTGACCCCATGATTATATAAGTTGGGCCCAGCACACACTCACTTTGAGTGTCATTCTACCCTCTACCTGCTGGTCGGGTTATGTGTTTGACCTCCCGAGGTTCTATGGGGACGCCCACCTCGTATTTTCGTCTTTCCTAGGAATTGAGGGACCGGCCCTGGCCTGACATGCTGGAGTCGAGAGGCACAGAAGGGGGTAAAAATGGTACCTGGATGTGGTCCTCTGTCTTAAGTGTACACATAGAAAGAGTAAGCTGTTACTTGGTACCATTATTTCTATTTTTCTATCTTTATCTTCTTTGTAACCATTTTTAAGACCTATATTTTGCTAATAGTTAAGAAATAGAGCAATAGCCATTGTAACCATATGATTTATAAGCTTCCTCAATAAACCTGTAACTGTTTAAGCTTTAACCTGACTCCTTCAGTTGCTGTAACAGAACCAAGCACAATTTAAAAGAACTTCAGCCGGTCTAAAGGGACAGTTATAGGAAGAGCTTGGGCGTTTGGATCTGTGTCACTCCCAGGTGACAGGACCCACTGGGGCATCTTTCAGTCTTTCCTCAAGGCTGCCCGCTGCGAAGGAATTATGAAATTCTAGCAGCTGAAATCTAAGATGTAATAAGCTCTTCCTATATAACGGGGCGTCTGTTGGCCTGCTGGCCACCCTCTGCGATGGGACCCCGGTCCTAGCAGTAAAGGCACGGACGTTAAACCTTTTCTCGGAAACATACACACACACACTGCCCTGACCGTCGGCTGACAGAAGCAGACACCACGTGCAGCCAGTTGCCGCGGCGCTGCCTTTTTTCATTATGTTGCACAAACCACTGCAAGACCCTCCGACACATTCTCCCTTCACCGTGGCCTGAATCTGAAGCAGCTGCACTGAACTCAGCTATTCTGGATTTACACCGGCATAGCTGAGAGCAGAGATGCTCCTGCTGAGTCCAGCATGGGGGCTGGAGGAATTTGAAAGGACTTTCCCTCTTCCTGCTGCTTCTCTTCCCGGCCCTTCCTTGCTCCCTCCTGTAGCATGAGTTACATTCCAGAGGTATGGGGACAGTAAATCTTTCATTTATTCACGGAGTCACCCACCCAGGCAGGAGCAGTGAGTGAGAAATGCAGTCTGTGGCGGTTCTCCACTGCTTGTCGCCTCACTAAAGACACATCTATGACAGACTGTCAGGGCAGTTTTTCCAGGGTTTCTATGCATGGCAGAGTGGGCCAGTGTGACATCTCTGACAGCCCTAGAGGGATAGGCCCGTAGCCTAGGACAAACTGTAGCCAGTAGCTAGAGGATTGACTCCTGCAGCCTCACAGAAATTGGCCCATGGGCGGTCGTGTGCCCCCGCACTGGTGGGGGAACTGGCAGGAGGGCCTGGCGCCTGCAGCAGAGATCCAGCCCCCATCACATTCACTAGCATGAGTGGCGGAAACAGAGCAAGGGGACTGCAGGTCGCTCTGCTCTCTGGGACTGCTCTGCGCTCCCTGGCGGGAAATGGGGCGACTTGGCTGGGGGGAGCAAAGCGAACTGGGGCTGCCTGGCTCTGCTTCGCCCCTCACTGCAGTTGAGTGGGGGGCTGTACCCCTGCTGCCAGCACTGCCCCGCTGGTCTCCCGCTCACTGGGGGAAAGAGGCAGGGCGGGGGTGGAACAAGGGCGGGAAGGAGCCAAATGAGGCAGAGCCTGGGGCAGAGCGGGGTTGTCCCAACTCTGTCCTGGGCTGGGGGGGGATCATGTGTCTGGTGCCCCCTCACCAGTCTCCTCTGATAGTCAGCTCTGCACTTGGAGTCACTGCTCAGGAGAGAGATCTTGGAGTCATTGTGGACAGTTCTCTGAAAACATCCACTCAGTGTGCAGCGGCAGTCAAAAAAGCAAACAATGTTGGGAATCCTTAGGAAAGGGATAGATAAGACAGAAAATATCCTATTGCTGCTATATAAATCCATGGTACACCCACATCTTGAATACTGCATGCAAATGTGGCTGCCCCATCTCAAAAGAGATGTATTGGAATTGAAAAAGGTGCAGAAAAGGGCAACAAAAATGATTAGTGGCATGGAATGGCTTCTGTCTGAGGAGAGATTAATAGGATTGGGGCTTTTCAGCTTGGAAAAGAGATGACTAAGGGGGACACGATAGAGGTCTATAAAATGCCTGGTGTGCAGCAAGTAAATAAAGAAATGCTGTTCCCTAGACCTTGTGTTATAAGAAGGAGTGGTCACCACATAACATGAAGAGGTAGATGATTGAAAACAAACAAGAGGGAGTATTTGCGCATTCCTGGGCTGGTGGAGGGGGGTTGGTGGAATCCATTCCTAACATGACGGCTTTGCCCTGAGATTTCCTTGGGATCATTCATGCAAGGCCACCCAAATCAAAACAGAAAGAAACCAAGCGTTGAGCAGAGAACCCTCCCAACTGTAACTGCTGAATTCCACCCAAGTGCTCAGCTTACAGGGAACACGGCTCGGGAGGTTTCCCCTTTAGGAAACCACATGTCCCAGCCAGTCCCATCCCGGCCCCAGCTGCTGTTCTGGTGAGTTGCATCCTCTGGCTCAGTAGCCTGCTTGCTTGAACGGGAACCCTTCCTTTGCAGCAAAGCATTGCCGAGCTCCGGCCTTTCTGCATTGTCCACCACTAGCTTGCACACTGAAAGGCAACGTGCCCACATCAGGCCACGGGGATGAAAGAGCCACCGGGCAGGGAATGCGTCCAACCAGGGGCAGCCTGAGGCGGGCTGCTGGCAGCTGGCACCCAAGGCAGAATGCGTGATCGGTGCCCCCACCTCTACAGCCCTCAATGGCGTGACATCATTTTAACGCGGCGCCCTAAGCGACAGCCAAGTCGGCCTATACGCACGGGCCACCCCTGCATCCAACCATCTGTTCTGCGAGGCTCCTGCATGGGGAGGGGATGTAAATAGCATATATCACAAATCATCTTCTCCCCTGCTAAAGGAAGGGTTAATGACCAGGAGGACTGGCTGACACAGGGGAAAGGCAGAGCTTTGGATTAGACACTGGTTCAAATCAGGCTCAGTTTGGAAATGAGCTGGGAGACCAGCATGGTCACAGGCTAGGCAGGAGCAAACTTTCCAAAGAACATGCCAAGAAACGGCCCCTTTGTGGTTAGACTAATCATGGACCAGAGTCCCATAAACTGATACTGCTGCTTTACATCAGTGGAACATCTGGTCCATTACTCCACCCCCTCCTCCCCACCTGGGACTTTCCAAAGTGAGGGATGGTTTTGTTCCAAAGAGAAGAAGTAAGACGTATGACGGCCTTGTACAGAACCTAGAAAGCCATTTTCTAAATGTAAATGACTAAGAAAACTTTGCATTCTTCATAACCGTGGCTGTCAGACAGTATTGATGGCTAACACGAAGGAATGTTTCAGCATCAGTATTGATGTCTGGAGTCTCCTGCTGCTTGTTTCCGTCCTGCATTTGTATTTTGTAATAGCTACATAAAAATATTGAGTGGAGCTCGTCAAAATGGGTAAAAAAATATGCCATGGCATCCCCTCCTCCTGCCCTTTTTGCACCATAATTATTCACTTCAAAAAACTCTGACCAGCTCTGGATTAGTCATTAGCATTTTATGGAAGACAAACAGTGCTGTAAACCGTGCACTTTATTTTCTTACATAAATACAAAGAGGGAGCTCAACAGCTGCAAAAAAATCAGGGAACAGCACAGCACTGAGGTGGGTTAGGCTGTGAGTGGGCTGGGCAGAATTCGTTTTCTCAGTGTTTATAATTGTGATGGATAACGTTGATGTCTATTTTTAAGCACTGGCTCTTGATTTTCCTCAATTCAAAATTTCACAAATGGGGGAAATGGGCGGGGGCTGGGAGTGGGGTGTCAGACATTGCCAGGTACCAGACAATAGTTACTTAATGACGGTGGATGTTGAGATTCAAAAAAATTAAAGCTTTTGTAGCTACCCAAGCAAAAAATTGTTAACAGTGCGTGTCGACTTGTACAAGTATCCTGAAATCGAGCTCTGGTAAGTTCTCAAAGTTCTGTCTGACGTTGCTTATCTGCATTGGTTAGAGTGTGTACCGTGGAATTCAGTTACTGCCAAAAACAGAACCCTTGCTAGTCCTGTTATGACTTACATGCAGTAATCACCTTCCCTGTATAACATGATAGCAATGAATAGCGTGTGTTTGTTTTTTACAGTTCGCCTTTCTTCACACAGCTCTGCTGGGAATCTGATACAGCCAGTCAATGGCTCCATCTGAATTCTTATATGCTGGGCAGCAGCATTTCTATAGGGGTCTTTTGGTTTTGCACAAAAAAGGAACGACATGTTTAGTGGCCGCAGACCCAAAACATTGATGGTCCTCAAATCCCTAAAGCTGTAGGAATATGGGGCTTTATGGCTAAATTAATTCTTGCCTCTGTTTTCTACCCACAGGCCTTTGGGGGATGTTCCTTTGGGGACAGGCCCAGAAAACAGCAAGGTGAATCCTATCAGCTGAGTAGCCTGGGAAAGGAGAAGTCGCCGACTCAGCAGTCCTGTGTATCGGAGAGTCCCTAGTCCTTCAGCGCCATCTGCTGTCTGCAAAGGTGACTAAGAGAAGACCAGACCCTTGTGCTATTGTTGGTGAGGCAGAGACTGCCTGGATGTGCAGGAAGACGCGTGAGGCTGGTTAGATTGAATCCATAGCAATCAAGGGCTCATGGGTTTAGATGCAAGTGGAAATGGGGAGGATGCAACTGGCGGCAGTTTACAGAGACATGGGACGGTCTTTTCCAAGTGAGATCTCCCACTGGAACAGAGTGTTTAGGGTCATTAGGTTAAGAAGATAACGCAAACTTCTGTGCATGTGTAAGATGGCAGCACATCCTGCCCACCTTACCCAGATGCTGAGGATTGACCTTGCTCTGGATCTTGTTTCAGTCTGCTCATCTCTCAGGACTTCGATTCCAGTCCTGTCGCCTGTTTCCAGGCCTCCCTTGGCTGGCAATAATGAGACGTTAATGGTCCAGTTGATGGCTATGTAAGGAGGAAGGGGGGGACCCAGGCCACCCACTGCTCTGGGTCCTGACCCAGAGACCCTCTGGTGACAGCCATTTTCTGCCCTCCATCTCTCCCCTTGACAGCTCCCATTCCCTTGGACCATTGCACCTTCCCAGTCCTTTTTATCGCAGACAGAAGGTATCAGGCTGGAGCTTCTCTTGGGATCCCCTGAGCCTGCCCAGCATGGCTGTGTCCAAGGGGCGCTCTCTCTCTCTCTCTCTCTGCAGGGAGCTAGCTAGTCCTTGCTTGTCAAGGCCAGAGTGAGCTCCCCTCAACTCTGCAGCCTTTTGTAGGGCCCCACCAGCCCCTGATTGGCTGGTTTCTCCCTTCACCCTGATTGGCTAGGGTTATTCAGGCCCCCCCCCTCTGGCCTGCTTTTAATCCTTTCCTCACCAGAGTGGGGTAGCTGCCCACTACACCAACCTAGACAGGGGACTCTCACCCAGTCACTGCCTCTCTTACCTTCTGTCTCAGGAAAGCAAGAAAGCCCTTGCCCCGCAGTGAGTAACAATACTGAAGGGGGTGGAGGGAAGCTGGAATATACGTATGTTTCTTAAAAATAGCACTGAGATTTCCTGCATTCTCTGCAGAAAGTTTTAACCCTTCCCTGCTTCTCATGCCCAGAGCCCCCAGTCTGTGTGCAACAAATCCATCCAGTGCCCACTTATGTCAGAGAATCTCCCCCTTTCAGAGCTGTCACTAACTGCCCCCTCCTCCCAGTGGCTGAGCCTCAAGAGAGAAGACAGGCTACTGGGCTAGATGGACCTTTGATCTGACCCAGTATGTCCATTCTTATGTTCCTCTGAGAAAAAAGGCCGATTCCTGGAGGCTGAGCTGCGGTGAGACACCTCCCCCCGGCAGTGTAAGCCATGCTGTGGGCTGGATAAAAGACTTTCATCCCCTGAAGATGTTGACCAGGCATGAAATTAACCAGCTTGAAATTAACATGGGAAATCATCTTTCACCAGCATGAAATTAACATGGGAAATCAAAACAGAACCAAAATGGCAGGACCCACCATGCTGACCTTTAGGAGAGTTGATTCTTTGCACTTGGCATGCAAAAGGCCGGGGGGACCCACAGGGAGCTGAGGGTCAGGTGCACGTTCCTGGGAAATCACACAGCCCTATTTGTTTGAAGCCTGCCGTGGTTCAAGCAGGTGCGCGGGTGTAACCTTAAGACAAGTGCTGAGTAACTGTCACCTGGTTGGCAAATAATGCGCATGGTGCCTGGAGACGTTACCTGCAAATGTCACACTCCAAAGGGTGGGTTTGCTGAGACGCAGGGAGGCTCAGGAACAAGCGGCCATCAAACTGCAGCATCCAGCTGGTTTTCTGGGCCTCCGCTCATGCAGCTGCTCCAGCCCTGGGGTCCTCTGCTGCCACCACTCAGTCAGCTGAGTTTGCTCAGTGCCCTGCACTCCAGTAATGAGATGCAACCCTGCAGCCCCCTCCTCTGCTAGATCAGCCCTGCATCAGTGAAACACGCCTTGGCCGCCTTTCTCTGCACTCTGGGGCCATTCCTACCCTGCTAGTTCCTCACCAGAGTGGGGTAGCTGCCCACTACACCAACCTAGACAGGGGACTCTCACCCAGTCACTGCCTCTCTTACCTTCTGTCTCAGGAAAGCAAGAAAGCCCTTGCCCCGCAGTGAGTAACAATACTGAAGGGGGTGGAGGGAAGCTGGAATATACGTATGTTTCTTAAAAATAGCACTGAGATTTCCTGCATTCTCTGCAGAAAGTTTTAACCCTTCCCTGCTTCTCATGCCCAGAGCCCCCAGTCTGTGTGCAACAAATCCATCCAGTGCCCACTTATGTCAGAGAATCTCCCCCTTTCAGAGCTGTCACTAACTGCCCCCTCCTCCCAGTGGCTGAGCCTCAAGAGAGAAGACAGGCTACTGGGCTAGATGGACCTTTGATCTGACCCAGTATGTCCATTCTTATGTTCCTCTGAGAAAAAAGGCCGATTCCTGGAGGCTGAGCTGCGGTGAGACACCTCCCCCCGGCAGTGTAAGCCATGCTGTGGGCTGGATAAAAGACTTTCATCCCCTGAAGATGTTGACCAGGCATGAAATTAACCAGCTTGAAATTAACATGGGAAATCATCTTTCACCAGCATGAAATTAACATGGGAAATCAAAACAGAACCAAAATGGCAGGACCCACCATGCTGACCTTTAGGAGAGTTGATTCTTTGCACTTGGCATGCAAAAGGCCGGGGGGACCCACAGGGAGCTGAGGGTCAGGTGCACGTTCCTGGGAAATCACACAGCCCTATTTGTTTGAAGCCTGCCGTGGTTCAAGCAGGTGCGCGGGTGTAACCTTAAGACAAGTGCTGAGTAACTGTCACCTGGTTGGCAAATAATGCGCATGGTGCCTGGAGACGTTACCTGCAAATGTCACACTCCAAAGGGTGGGTTTGCTGAGACGCAGGGAGGCTCAGGAACAAGCGGCCATCAAACTGCAGCATCCAGCTGGTTTTCTGGGCCTCCGCTCATGCAGCTGCTCCAGCCCTGGGGTCCTCTGCTGCCACCACTCAGTCAGCTGAGTTTGCTCAGTGCCCTGCACTCCAGTAATGAGATGCAACCCTGCAGCCCCCTCCTCTGCTAGATCAGCCCTGCATCAGTGAAACACGCCTTGGCCGCCTTTCTCTGCACTCTGGGGCCATTCCTACCCTGCTAGGGGAGGAGAGGAGCCACCAGCCGCACTGCAGATGAGACCTGTACTGCGGCCCCAACAGTCCCTGCCTTTGGGTCTGCTCTGATTTAATTGTCCCAACAGGCTCTTCCTTGTGTGCAGTGAGTGTAGGAATTAAAGTAGGGTGGGAGGCTCAGGACAGGGGTGTGGAGTGTTTGGGGGGTGCAGGAGTCAGGGGAGAGGGATAAGGGTGTGGGGGGAGCTTGGGCCTGGGATTGCAGCCATCATATGACCTGTCCACAAGATCCCTGGGACTGGCCAGGGTGGCAAGGACCGCATTGCCCGGCCACCCGAACACCAAGGCTGGGGTATTGGTGTGCTGTGGCCATGCAGCCCAAGGTGCTGGCAGCATCCAAAGCCCTGCCCCCAGCCAGCCAGTCTCTTATGGGTGCACCATCTTATTTTCACCTTTGTTTGTAGGCACTGGCAGCCACTGAGCTATCTAAGGCATGGATCTGAGAGAGTGTACTAGGAGAATGGGGCTACCAAGGAACTTGCAGTACCCAGCACGATCTCTGAACATAAGAACGGCCAGACTGGGTCAGACCAAAGGTCCATCTAGCCCAGTAACCTGTCTGCCGACAGTGGCCAATGACTGATGCCCCAGAAGGAGTGAACAGAACAGGTAATCATCAAGTGATCCCTCCTCTGTCATCCATTTCCAACCTCTGACAAGTGGAGGCTAGGGACACCATTCCTACCCATCCTGGCTAATAAGTATTGATGGACCTAACCTCCATGAATTTATCTAGTTCTTTTTTAACCCTTGTTGAAGTCCTGATCTTCACAACATCCTCTGGCAAGGAGTTCCACAGGTTGGCAGCACACTGTATGAAGAAAAACTTCCTTTTGTTTGTTTTAAACCTGTTGCCTATTAATTTAATTTGGCGACCCTTAGTTCTTAAGTTATGGGAACAAGTGAATAAATTTTCCTTATTCACTTTCTCCACATGTGTCATGATTTCATAGACCTCTATCATATCCCCCCTTAATCTCCTCTTTTCTAAGCTGAAGAGTCCTGGTCTTTTTAATCTGTCCTTACATGGCATGCTGTTCCAAACCCCTCATCATTTATGTTGCCCTTTTCTGAACCTTTTCCAATGCCAATGTATCTTTTTTGAGATGAGGTGACCACATCTGCACACAGTAGTCAAGGTGTAGGCGTACCAGGGATTTATATATAAAGGCGATAAGATATTCTCTGTCCCTTTTTTAATGGTTCCTAACATTCTGTTTGTTTTTTTGACTGCCGCTGCGCACTGAGTGGATGTTTTCAAAGGACTGTGGGCTCAGAGACCATCGTGGTAGGACGGAGGACAGTGCAAAGTGAGAGAAACCCCTTCTACTTCTGCAGTCACAACTGTTTCCACAGCTGATGGCCTTAATCTTTTCCCACCCCTGATCCAGGCAGGGCCAAAGAAACCCAGGGAACCTCATTGAACCATTAGATCCGGCCCCTGTTGGCTCCAAAGCCCAGGAGATGTTGCATGACTTTGAAAGGAAGAAGGAGACAATGGAAATGGCCTTGTAGCATGTGTAGCCACTGGCCCCCACAACAGCTGGGCGACAGGAACACGCTCCATGGCTGCCGTGAAGCCTGCCCAAGACACGACTCCCGATGCACCGTGTTAATCTCAGCAGCACCCTGGAGCTTTTGCCAACGATCTGACAGGAGCAGAAACTGTTGGGAGTTGTTGATCCAGATTTAATAGCAGCATGTGCCATTGGCACTGATGCTCTATGACTCGGGTAAAAGGATCGATGGATGAACTGAACCTTACAGGGCTAGTCTGGGCTGCAGCGGAGGTTGCTCTCTTGCCGTGTTCATCACCTTGAATATTACGGCTGCACTGCCAATCCGTCTTGTCCGGACCGAATTGAAATGCACCAGCGGTCTGAGCTGTGAAACACTTCCACAAATGCCAGTGTCGCTCTGTCACAGCCAGCCCCCAGCCCCGCCAAGTGACAGCAGCGTTTCCCTGTGGGGTGCCCCCAAGAGCGGCATGCTTTCTGGGCACGGGGAGGTGGGCCAGGCGTTGCTAAGCGACTGCTCCCTTATCTATTCCAGGCGCCCAATGGACAGATTGTCGAGAGGAAGGCAAACCCGTCTGGCAGCCTCCTGACTTCGCTGGGAAAACAACAGCCCTATTCACTGTGACACGGTAGCTGCTGGCATTGTCTAGCCCAGGCGGGTGGTGTGAAACCCTCGCTATTTAATGGGAGGCCCGGGCGCTGCGCCTGTATCAGAGAGCAGCCGCTGGCCCCATGGAGCAGTGACTGTGAATTAGCTGCACGCTCTCACCCCTGAGCGCCGCTGTCATGGTAAGGAGCCTTTTATATCCTGAATGATCACTGGCTCTCTGGGACACGCAGCCGGGAGCCCAGCGGACCTAGGGGGCCTGCAGTTTGGTAGGGAAGTGGGGATCTCTGTGGGGTCCGTTCATGCGCCAGAGCAGGGGTTCTCAACCTTTGTTTTTCTGCACCCCTCCCTCACTCCCAATGTGCTATAAAAACTCCAGGGCTCAGCTGTGCCACAACTGGTTTTCAGCATATAAAGCCCAGACCGGGGTTAGCAAGCAGGGCAATTGCCCAGGGCTCCACACCACAGGGAGCCCTGCAAAGTGAGCTGCTCAGGCTTTGGCCTCAGTCCTATGTGGCAAGTTTTGTCCTGCAGCCGAACGGGGCAGGGTTCGGGCTTCCCTTTCTTCCCTGGGCCCAGGGACTCTAATGCCAGCCCAGCTCCAAGCTTCATGTGGGTAGCCCCCCCGACACCTGTGTACAGCCCCCTGGCGGAGAACTTCTGCGGCTGCAGATCTAACACACCCTGACATTTGATGCCCGAGAGTAGGAGAATGGAATTGTGGGTTGGAAACGAGTGAAGAGCCCATAGCAAAGGGAAAGCCAAAGAGCTGAATGTTGTTCGGTTCTTCAGCGGGCATCCAGTCATTATCAGGGAGACAGCGTGTGTGCAGGACGTGCATCAGCTGCATAAAGTACTTTATGTTCTTTCAGGGATCTTCTTACAGCTCTTTGGGGTACGCCGTAGTACAGCTTCTAGAGGGCAGCTTCAGCCTGCAGGGGGTGGAAATATTTCACAAACACATTTTTTGAACAAAATTAACATTTTAGGGAAACTTTGTTGTGGTCAAAAACTTGTTTTTAAACTTCGGGTGTTTTTCAGAGTTGGGAGTAGGGGGTTGCTTTCTTTCCCCCCTTTTCTTCCCCTTCCTTTAACAGTGGGAAAGGGGAGTGAGGGATTTATGTCGTTTCAGATTACAGAACAAGGAGCCATGGTAATTTGTCGCTTCAGATTACAGAACAAGGAGCCATGGTCTCAAGTTACAGTGGGGGAGATCTGTTTCCCTAGAAGGGTGGTGAAGCACTGGAATGGGTTCCTTAAGGAGGGGGTGTCAAGTATCAGAGGGGTAGCCGTGTTAGTCTGAATCTGCAAAAGCGGCGAGGAGTCCTGTGGCACCTTATAGACTAACTGAAGTGTTGGAGCATCAGCTTTCATGGGCAAAGACCCACTTCGTCAGATGCATGTAGTGGAAATTTCCAGAGGGGGTGGAATCTCCATCCCTAGAGGTGTTTAAGTCTCGGCTTGACAAAGCCCTGGCTGGGTTGATTTTGTTGGGATTGGCCCTGCCTAGGGCAGGGGGCTGGCCTTGATGACCTCCTGAGGTCTCTTCCAGCTCTGTGATTCTATGATTCTAGTTTCACTGAAAAAACAACTGAAAAATATCAATGAACATTTTTTAAACAAAATGAAAATGTTTGTGGGTTTGAATTGTTTTCCCTACGAGCGCCCCCTGCGTATTGACCAGCTGTGTCCAGTCCACACCGAGCTGCCGGAGGAGTGCTCCAGTCTCCCATCCCACCCCCCAGTATCTCAGGCTTCCATTGAGAACAGAAGGAATGGCTCTTACCAAACTGCTCCAGCTTTATGCCTCTCCCTGAGAGCTCTCTGATCCGGCTCCTGAGCCAGCTGTTCCTTCTCCGTTCAGGGCCTCACTGGTGCAGCTCCTGCTTGGAGCATGCCCATTAGGGTCCCGTCCCTACGGGGTTTCCTCTAGAAAACCGAGAGAATCACGAGATTTTCATTGACTTTTTGGAGATTATTGGCAGGACCCTCTTTCAGCACAGCTGGACTCTGGCGCTGTAGGCTAGGGACATTGCAGTCGGTTGCATTGGGAAGGCACTTGGCTCCTAGGGTCTTACTAAACTGCATGGGGGAGAGCACACTTGCTATTTATCTTCCTAGCTAAGTGGGTTTTCAGGTCTGGACACAGCACAAGTGACAGGGCCATGAGCCACCTCCACCAGGACAGCTGGGGCCACCCCCCAATTATTTCTCTGCGGCCCCAGATTTGTACAGGTCTTTGTTTCTTTCCCTCTAGAGTCTTGGATCAATTGCCCAGGCCCCCATCGACCTACAGGGCCCCAGGGAGTCTGGCCAAAGCCCGGGGGCCAAAACAGAGCCGAGAGGAGAAGCGGGAAGGATACAGACCTCGGCAGGACGTGGTGAGCTGTTCACAGGATGGGGCAGCCAAGGCAGCATGAGGGGGAAGGGGAGTTTCTCGGCTTCGCCAGGCACCCACAGAGCACACAGGACACAGACTGAGGCAGGACTGGCACCCAATATCTGCTCACATCAGTGTGGCCGCACGGACCTGGCTTAGGCCAGGAGTTGTCGGAGACCAGGGGTCCTCACGTGGGAATCCCACAGTGGGAGAATCTCAGGCGACCGTCTGTCTGTCTCACCACAGAGCTGGCGGAAGCTGAGGCCACTTTCTCCAGGGCCCTTGGTCTGCACCCTCAGGGGCTGCGCTCCCCTTGTCAGCAGGCCGCAGCCCTCACCTCGCTTGGGAAGGAAAGTAGCCTCCTAAGCCTGACAAATCTGCCACCCCCTCGGCAGCCCCAGAAGCTGCTGCTCAGACGCTGCTCAGACACAAAGCCGGCCCCTGCTGTTGGGAGGTACCAGCACAGAGCTCGGGGGTGGGGTTTGCAAGATCAAAAATGAGCCCTGGTAATGGGTGCCCCTCGGCAATTCTGCTGTCCCCTTTCCCCACCTCGTTATTCTCCAAGGGGCTGAGTGGTGCACAAGCCTTGGCCTGGCTCTCTGCCCCGAGGGGAACGTGAGGCCAGCAGGAACCACTCGGATTCTCTAAGCGAAGCGCCTGCAGCACATGCCGGTCGTGCTCCCTCGGCGGGGCTCTGTCGCATCAAGTGCTCAGCTCTCTGTTCCCCAATGCTGACCGGCTTCCCGGGGGGCTGCAGGCTGAGCTTCTTCCAGGCCTAGAGAGCCCTGCATAGAGGGTGCTGGAGGAGCCAGGCTGGAGGAGCCTCCCCACATCTCCTGGAGAAGGTCACTGTCCATTTCCCCTGGTTGGAGGGGTCCCCCCAGGCAGTCTCTTCTGCATTGCTACATGCAGCCAAGTGGGAGGGGTTCTCCAGGGTGTCAGGCTGAGGACCACGTGCTCGTTTGCACAGTGCAACATTGCACCACCGGCTCTGGTGCTCATGGAGATGGCCCAGAGTGTCTGTTGTGAGCGACAGACGTGGCAGGTGTTGCCTCTCCGGAGATGCAAGCGACTGTTCGTAAGTAGGCAGAGTGCCTGCTCCTGCTAAGCTGGCTTCTTCCATTGAAAGCAGCCTGCTGCCCCTCTGCCTTTGAGGGCGTTTTGTGCCCGGATGGATGGGGAAGGTTTCCTCGTGCGTTCCCACCTGCCATTTGCACCCCTGGGAGTCTCGTGAGGGATGGAGACCCAGGTGAATGGTGGGCAGCTGGGACAGTCCTCTGAGGAAGAGAGGAGACTTTGTGGTGAGCTACGGAGTTGACAAGGGGCTAGATAGGGCCCAGACTGGGCCATGGAGGAGAACACAACAAGACCCAGAACTTGTCCTGTATCCAACCTCCCCCCTTCTCTTCTTGTTTTATCAAGGTTCTTCCAACACGTCCCTGGAAAACCTCTGCCCCCTCCGGAGATGTCTCCTCTTGCTGGGGGCCATCGGGCTGCTGGCAGGGGTGGCTGTCGGACTGTGGCTCCTAGGTCTGTATCTCCCGGGGGGATTCCACACCTCTCTCGAACCTGCCCTTAGCCCCATGGCTGGAATGGAGAGTCAGGGCTTTGAGATCACACAAGCAATGAGCGAATGGTCACGAGGGTCCCGGCATCACTGGTGCCAGGCGTGGGAAAGCCCAGCTGCAAAGCCAATGGAAAGCGAGCACACAAGAGGCAGCACGGCACAGCGGGCACTAGGGTGGGCCCTAGCCCCGGTCTGTCCTGGCCTGCTGTGTGACCCTGGGCAAGTTCTTCCTCTCCCGGAGCCTGTTTCCCACCCCTGCGTCCGTCTTGTCTGTTTCAGTGTAAGCGCTTGGCAGCAGGTACTGTGTGGTTTGTACAGCACCTTGCACAATGCAGTCTGATCTTAGCTGGGCCTCCCAGTGCTACTGTCGTGCAAATACTAGATTAGCCTCTGTGACGGCGCGTTGGGGGTTCCCCGTCTCCTGCACCCCGAAATGGCACCAACAGACTGCACCAGCCAGTGGAATTGCGGGTGGTTTATTGCTCCTCCAGCACAGCGCAGCACAGATGTAATCTGGTTACAGGAACTGGGGCTAAGAGGCCTCAGTGCCCCCCCTTGAGATAGGGGAGTCCCAGCCCCCTCCCCAGCTCCTTATTCCCTGCCTTCCAGATAGGAACTAACTAACCCTCTCCAAGCCCTGCCCCCCAGCCAGGGCAGCATTCCACCTTCCTTTGTTCCTCTCCATGGGGGGTGTCTGGCCACTGGTTCAACAAGTTTGGCATTACCTCTGCCTAGTGAGGTTTTCCCTGCTGGGTCTTGCTCCAGACAGCAGGGGTCACCACATCCCAGCAAGTACCCCCACTACGTCACAGCCTCCTAATAAACAAAATCAACTGGAATCTCTCCATAGCCTTTGCATCAAATTCTACGGGTTTATCTAACTCCCTTGGGGCCAGTGCAGGGTTGTTCCCCATAGTATGGGCATTAGGGGCTAGTCTAGCCTGTTCCATCACATCTCCGTTCTTGTGCTTCCTTCTGAAGTGAAATTCCAGATGGCGCCCCCCTCGAACCAGGACTCCAGCCCGCTGCAGGACACGGAGTTGATCTCGATCTGCAGAGAGGCCGAGGAAGATGAGCCCACAGCTCCCAGGAGAGGTTTGGGGTCTTTACTCCCCACAGCCCCTGCTCTCCTTGCCACCAGGAGCTGGGGGGAGAGGATGTATCCCCTGGTGCCGTCAGCTGGGCCTTTCGCTGTCAGCAATATATGGAACCACCCTACGATCTAGCCTGTCTGACCTCACAGCCAGCAGATTTCCCTTCCTCAAGGTCAAAGGCAAAGCAAAGAATGAGGCTGTCTCCGTGCCTTGACCTGCCCCTTTTTCCTTGTCAAGACAGACCAGAAAGTCCCCGTCCCCCCCTCGGTGCTCTACTTGTCTCCTTCAGCACTACCCAGAATGCTTTGCCACTACCTGGCAGTGCCACCCCCTGAATCCTGGGAACACATGGAAAGGAGCCAGGGGTGGTTTGCAATAGCCCCACAGGTTTTCTGGGGCACTTTGTGGGGCCAGACCTGGGGAGGAGATTCATCCCTCCTTAGACACCGGGACTTCACCAGGTTTGATTTTGGTCTCTGCCAAGAGCTGGTTGCAAGAAAGCTTGCAGGACGTGTTTAATAAAATGGCTTTAGTATCTTTCAGAATAAACACGGGAAACTTCTTGTTGGAAGTGCAGGTGGAAGGCAGGCCCGGCTGGCTCCTGGTGTGTCACGAGCGGTGGAATCTCTCCCTGGGGACCCTGATCTGCAGGCAGTTGGGCTATCTCCAGTAAGCGATGCTCCTCCCAGCAGAGACTCAGTCGGCCAGCCTCAGGCACACGACTTTGATTTGCCAGTTTTGCAACGATACTGCAAGAAATAACAGGATCCTAGCCCAGGACCATAGACTCACTGACGTTTATTTACTGGGGCTTAGAAACGGGGTCCCACAGTGCTAGACCCAGTTCTCCCCCTTTTCCTATTTTACCACTGGAAAAGGGAGGAATCTCCCAACATGAAACGATGTGGGGATGGAATTTTCACTGCAAAATGTAATTTTGTTCACTGGATATGTTTTAAAATGAAAAAAAAAATGAAAATTTCCAGGGAGGTGGGGGGAAAAATCTGCATTTTTTTTGAGCCACGCTAGATGTTCCATAGCTCCTAGATCTAATGTCACTGTTCTCTTATCCACTGCTGTTCTGTGGCTGTGCATTTTTCCTGCACATCACCATAGAGACAAGGGGGAGACTTTTGTGGCATAAATGATAAGCAGGACTCCTGGGTTCTAATTCTACCTCCTCAACCTTGTGGCCTTTTCCTCTGTGCCTCATTCCCCTCATCTTTCAAACAAGGATCATAATAGTCATCCGATCCCCAAGTGAGCATGAACTCATTCATGTTTGGAGTGTGTTGTGAGATCCTCATTTGGAAGGTATTAGCGAAGGACACAGAATTATTATTGTCTCCAGTTTGTACTCATATGCTGTTGACATTCCAGGGCTAGCAAAGGGGACTGCAGCTTCTGAAAAGAGTTTAGCGAGGCAAGCAAACCTATCTCCTAATTCTGGGGTTAGCAGAGTGTCAAGTGAGGGTCTGGAGTATGTTCATTCGCAGTATTATTATGTAGCCACTAGATGTCCCTGTCTGCTTTACAGTTCCAGTCAGGACGTTTCCTCTGGTAAATGAGAGAGACAAAACTGGAACTCAAGTTGTGCGGATGCCTGTTTTGTATTTGTAGTTAGTAGCCCTCCTGCGTAAGCACTGTGATTCCAAGAAACATGGCAGGGGAAAGGATTAGCCTTCCCAGTGTGTGGCTATGTCTACAGTGCCTGGTTTTTTTTGTTTGTTTTTTTTAAAACCTTTTTCCACAGCACCTTTTCGTACCTTTTTCCACTTGTTTTTTCGGAAGGGTTTTTTCCGACATGTGGCCCATCTACATGGGGCCAAATGTCGGAAGAACCTCCTCTTTCGGAACATCCCTTATTTCTCATAAAATGAGGAATACAGGAATGCTGAAAGAACGTGCCCGCTTTTTTGGAAACGGTTCCAAAAAAGTGGACGTGTACCATGGACGTGGCAGAGTTTTTCTGGGATACTCTGCAGTCTAGACATATCCTGTGAGGGCTAGTATGTTTAATCCTTTCATCTCTGTCTGAGCAGTGGCCAGAATTAGCATGTATAAACTACCGTACAATGGTTCTGTGCAGAAGAGAGGAAGAAAGTGACCATAAGAATGCAGTCATGTCAGGGGCATGGGTGAGCTCACTGATCTCTTGGCGGGATAGCCTGGACAGCCACTCACTCTGCGTGTAGGTGATGACGTTTGCCTTTGCTTCTGCAGACTCGCCCATCACAAAGGAGTGAACCTGACAGATGTCAAGGTGAACGATACCCAAGAGTTTGTTCAGATTGTGCCCGACCAGAAGAGCAGCATTGAAGCCATGTGGCAGGTCAGGTGGGTGACGGCGCTGGGGAGAGCAGGACTGGCATTGTGGGAACTGAACAGAAGGCCCTTTCCCTTCTGTCTTGTCTGAGGAAAACGTCTCCCTGGTTCTGGAGGTGACCGCCAAGCTCTGTGTCGACTCTGATCAGCAAATATGGAGGGAGGGAGAAAATCTGAACTGGCCACTCAGAGAAGTCCAATGGAATGGAATGGAAACAGCACAGTGCCTGCCCCGGCAGGAGCCACACCTGCAGGGAGGATCACAGCTGCCGTCACACCTCCACTTGCAGAGCAGACACTCCCTCAATACCTGCAGGGGAGCTGGCATACAGGCCTTCTCAGACAGGCCCGCTGGCCCTCTCAGGACAGCTCTGCTGCTGCAAAAACACACAGCCTGCATCCTTGCACTTTCTACCCCTCATCAGCTCGTGTTTGCCAAGGGCTCTGCAGGTGAAAAGCCTTCGGCGGGCACCATGACAGTCCCCATCAGAATCCACATTCCAGGCCTCCTGAGGGAATCTGGCCTGTCACCATGCCAACGGGGGCTGCCAGGGAACCCCGGGATGGGCCATCTCTGTGTCTCATGGCTGCTGGGAACCTCATTGCTAACCCTGGTTCTGCTCTGGTGCAGGGGCAGCTGTGCTTCAGGGCGAATCGTGGCTCTGAAATGCTCCGGTAAGTGTGCTAGCCCCGTCCTCAGAGAGCGCTGAACTCTCTCGCATTCCTTGTGCTGTTACAGATCCTCCGTTGTTAGGAAAAGCCCCAGGTCAGCTGGACACTGAGCACCCTGTTGCTCGACATGGGCCTGCTTTTCCTTTGAAAAGTCAGCGTCATTTCTCACAGAGCGGCTTTCACAAACAAGCAGGCCCAGTGCTGAGGGGCCCACGAGCCGCGGAGTTACTCAGGGATGCAGCTCCAGCATCCCTATGGTAACACGCCTGCACCAACCAGCCTGTCTGGAGGGCAGGAAGGTTTGGCTTCCCATTGGGCTGTGGAGCAAAATAGAAGGTGGGTTTGCAGCTCCTGGAGTTCGCCTTTGCCCATGTGATTTCACAGCTGGGGTTTGCTTGCAGCGGCAGCAGCAACATGGCCTTCAGCCCTCAAACCCTCCTGTCCTTATGGCCCAGCTCGTGGGTAAATAGCAGCAGGTGCAATGAGCACCCCCTCCCCAGTATTGGTCTCACCGCCTCTGCTTGTCAAGGAAGGCAGCTGTGGCCCTAAACTTGCCCCGTGAGGCCCCGGGCTATTTCAGGGCGAGCGGCAAGGTGCAGACCTGAGAACGCGCAGGTGGAGAGGTGGGAATCCTGCATTCTTTGCTGTTTTCTCTCGCTCCCTCTCAGCTCTGGCTGAGCAGTACTGAGTGGGGATATCACTACATGGAAGAGACTTTGCTTAGGACCTGGGGTGGCAAGGCAGAGGCTAGCTCGGAGCACACAGAAGGGTGAGTGTGGGTTTCTCCATGTTATTTCTCATGGGGAGCAGTACAGGTGACAAAAAGCAAAGGAGAAAACATGGGTCACCCTGAATCCCTAACAGCCTGTGGGGGTGAGCCAGGCACTGGGACGGAGCATAGGCGGGATGGGGTCTGGGGTAATACTGTGGAGCACAGCTGAGAAGCAGGAGCATACACGGGATGATTCCTGCCGGCTGGTCCCTTCTCTGCAGCCTTGCCTTCTCCTTTTCTTTTCTTCCCTTTCCAGCCTGTGAGGTCGGCTGCTTTTCTCCTCCAATTCCAGTGCTCAAAGACCCGCTCTGTCTGCCTGCAGCCCCAAGTCAAAGCCCAGCCCAGCTCAGCTCCTGGAGAGGGCCGGGTCCTGTCTGCCTGCAGCATCAAGTCAAAGCCCAGCTCAGCTCCTGGAGAGGGCCGGGTTTCTCTGACCAGTGAGGTGTTTGCGGCTCCAGGTTCATGTCTCTCCCCCTTTGCAGAGTGTGGCGTGCGCTCCAGGGCAGCCCGGATCGTTGACTCTGGCCATGGCAGGTCAGCCTGTACCTCAACTCCAGACATGTCTGTGGCGGCTCCGTAGTGGCGCGCAACTGGATCGTCACGGCCGCTCACTGCGTGCACAGGTGAGTCTGGGAGCAGCAGGGCAGGAGGGCTGAGGGGGCAGCCTTGCGCAGGGCATGGCTTTTCCCCTGCGTGGAAGGTGGTGGGGAATTGGCCACCCGAGCTATACCGCATCCCCAGAGGGACAGGTGAGTCATGTCTCTGCCCAGTTACAGGCTGCCCCACGTCTCCAGCTGGCTGGTCTTTGCCGGGATTATCACCCACGTGTCCGTCAAACAGCAGGCCGGGGCAGCGGTGGAGAAAATTATCTACCACCCCCGCTACGACGACCGGAGTCACGACTATGACATCGCGCTGATGAAACTCACAGCACCCTTGAACTTCTCCGGTGAGAACTTACTCTGCCACCATCTCCCCCTTTGCAGGGTGGGGGATCCCCATGGGGAGGCCCTGGCTTCCCTTCCCAAAGGGACTGTAACAGGGCCACCCCCCTAAGGGTCTGATTCCCACCCTGGTGGCTTGTGCCGATCCTGGGGCAATGCCAGCAGCGGGGTGGAGAAAGCTTTCCCCAGGCAAGCCATGAGGCTCTGGTGATGGCACAGAATGCTCACAGACCTTGTCTCCCATGGCAGCGTGAAATAAGTGGGCCGATATCTAAAGAGCAGGGCTCTGGCTGCGCGGGTCCCAGCGGGAGCAGCGCTCTTTGGAGAACGTGGCCCCCGGAGCCAGGGGAGCAGAGCAGCAAAGGAATTTCACTCTCGATCGGTGCTGTGCGCTACGAGGGCCGTGCCGAGCTGGTGCTGCTCTAACACGCCTCCCTCTCTCCAGACGCCATCCGTGCGGTGTGTTTACCGCTCTCCCGCCAGGATTTCCCCCACGGCACCCGCTGCTGGATCTCCGGCTGGGGCTACACCAGCCCTGAACATGGTGAGCGGCTCCAGATGGCCTGGCGAGTGGTCTGGGGGCTCCTTCTTACCAAGCAGATGAGCGAAGGCTGCGTGTCACCGGAGGGGACGTCTGAGTCACCAGGAGAGCACTGAGTTCTGAGCTGCGACTCCCCTGCCGCCCTCAGTCCTGACCCACAGCCCCTGCTACTATTGCAGCCTAGGGCTCCTTGCACATCTACAGCCCTAGCCCCGATCTGCAGCCCTCCCCCCAACTTCTCCCCTCTCCTCCTCCCAGCACCCAGAGCCCTAGGGCTGAAGCGTCTCTGTATAGCTCGGCATCCCGCTGTGCCTTGAGCACAAACCCCAGCATTTAGCCCTCCGGCTGCAGTTCATCTGTCTCTCTCCTTTGCCTTCCTCTCCCCCAGCTCAGGTGGCTGAGATCCTGCAGGAAGCTGTGGTTCCCTTAATCAGCACCAAGAAATGCAACAGCTCCTGCCTGTACTCTGGTGAGCTCACCCCCAGGATGCTGTGTGCCGGCTACCTGGATGGGCAAGCAGATGCCTGCCAGGTAAGAGCAGGGAGAAAACATCCCCTGTTGTTGTTAGGCAGGGGTGGGGGTCGGGTCCTTTCCCTCACTAAGGAGCAGTGCGATGCTGCCACCCTGGGCTGGATCCCACCCGGGGTCTGTCACGGACATGCAAATGGGGGAAAGGGCGGGGAACATGGCTCCTCCTCTAAAGAGGGCAGGGCAGGGGTGTGGAAAGGGGGAGGTGGGAGGGTCTTGGGGGCAGAGCAGGGGCACGTGGGGCATGTGCAGAGCTACTGAGAGGCTGCTGGTGTCAGGGTAAGGGCGTCAGGGCATGAGGGGGTTTGCTCAGGCCTTCTGCCAAACCCGGGAGGGCGTTTCAGGGTGTCAAAGGTGGGGAGGGAATGTGGCAGGAGTGTGCTTGGGGCTGCCTTCATCCTGGGGAACAGCGGGTCACTAGAATGTGTAGAGGGGCAGCCGTTGCTGAAGTTGAGGTAAATGCTCCTTTATTACAGGCAGGGCAGCTGTCCATCCCTCCCTACGCACCAAGCGGCAGCCAGTGTGTGTTTCCTCTGGCACTCAATTCCTCCTCCTCAGCAGTTGCTCCTAGCGATGGCCGATGCTGGATCAGTTCACACCCTGCACCCTCCATCCTGCACTCGCAGTCCCTTTGCTTTAGGACAGATAGGCACAGCCTGGCATCCTGTTACGATAGGCTACTGCATGAGTGTTGGTTACAGGCTTGTCACCCTGTTTTCTGCACGGCCACCAGTCCCTGCTGGAGACAGGCCCGTAAGCGAGGCAGATCCTTGAGGTGAAGCTACAGCATCTCCTTGGGGGGGCTAGGCTCAGAGCCACAAACAGAGCCTGGCGCCTAATTCCTGTGGGTTTGTCTAGGAGATAGGGGTCTCACTTCATTTGTTCTTCTGGGCCTTAGGGGAGCAGCATCTTTGGTCTGGCTGTTCGTGAGGGATGGACTAGGCCAGGGAAAACCCCACACAACAAAGGCAGCCTCCGGCTGTTGGGCTTCATTGCTGTGCTGTGTTACAGCAGTGCGGGGAACAGCACAGAGGAAGAACCCTCCACTGGGCCCAGTACCCTCCTGCAAGCTGTCTGCAAATCCCAGCTTCTGCTCCTTGGACGCCCTCCCGCAGCATCTCCCCAGAAGGGAAGGGGGGAGCATTTTGGTCCAGATTCACAAAAGCGTTTTGCTGCTGCGCTCCCATTGATTCAAACCCTTAAATCCCTTTGCAGATCTGTGGGGCCAGGATTGAAAATGGCCAGTAAGGTACTTTGGGATCCTCTGCCTGAGGGAAAGGGAGTGGGGAAAATCAGGAGGAGTAAAGAGACATAACGGAGCTGGGTTAGCGATCTTCATGCCACGGGGACCTGCTGGCAGCTCTGCTCTGCCCCTTGCTGCATCGCAGCCTCTGGCCAGGCTGGTGGGGCCCACAGGGCAGGGGCAGCCCTACAGGGCAGAATCCCACCCCTGTGCTTTGTGGAAGCACTTGCTCTGGCTGGCAGGGAGACAGTGGGGGGCCACTGGTTTGCCAGGATGAACTCACCTGGCGCTTAGTGGGCATCGTCAGCTGGGGCACAGGGTGTGCTGAGCCCAACTCCCCAGGAGTTTACACCAAGGTGGCCGAATTCCTGGACTGGATTTATCACATCGTCGAGGTGAGGGAAGCAAATGGACAAAGGGTGGACCTCCGGGGAGATGCTAGAACTCCGCAGGGGGCTGGTTCACTAGCTCTGTCATTCTGGCTACTACCCAATACAGTACTTAACAATCTGCCCCTTTAGCTAACCCTACCCCAGGAGAAATTCCTTCCTCATCCCTGCGACAGTCTTGCTTTGCAGGAGACATTTATAAGGGGCTGGAAGGGAGATGGGCTTTAAAACACCCTGCCATGACAGATGTAGTGCATCTCCTGGGAGAGAGCCAACTGCTGTGTGCTCTGCAGCAAGAGCCTTGCAGAAGGAGGAAATCAGACACACAAGCCTGCTTCCCCTGCGTTTGGTAGCAGAGAGCCGAGAAGCAGAGTGGCTTCAAAAGCCTTGGTGTTCCTCATCAAAAAAATTGGTGTTTCTTGGTCTTAAAAAGTTTAAGAAACACGGCCCTACAGTATGTGAATGGCAGACAAGGCGGGGAGCATGGCTGGTTTATGAAAGAAAATTGCCATAAAACAGCTCACTTTTCTGATTTGAATGAAAATATTTCTATGGATCTCAGGGAACACTGAGCTTCAAATACAACTATCCCCCTCCATTTACATAGCTTACCAAAACAAACCCCAAACCCTCATGTAACAGGATTTTAATTCTTGCTTCCAAATTAACCATATTCACCCTTGTGATTCTAGCATTTGGGGGATCTCCCAAAGCACAGAACTGATACAGCTTGTTGTCTGTTCTTTCAACAGAGCCACTAGGAACATAGCAAGGGGGTTGACTTAAGGAGCAGAACCACATGCCAAGCAAAGAAGAGTCACTATGGCGCTTTGTCCCAGTTCCTGTGTAGTGAACGTGAATCAGCATCAACTGACTGAGGGAGCTGACAGGCCGGCCTGTTACCAAGTGTAGGGTCTAGTCTCTGCTCTAGGGCATGGGGCAGCTCCCCTGCTTTGTGCTTGTTGTAGCTATTCCATGTTAATTCATTAGCGTTTGGGCAATGGCTGCCACACCCTTTCTGCTCTAGTGCAGGGGCTTGGTGCCATGTTTGGGCTGTGTCTTTGGGGTGGGGGGGTGCATTCAAATACCTTTCCTGTGTTAAGCAGGGCTTTCAAGGGGGTGTCAAACACAGTCCTGCTGCACAGTCTTGCCTCATGTGCCTTGAGCAATGTGGGGCTTGCTTCACCTTGCCTGTGGAAACTGTTCCACTTGCATTCAATGCTACTCACACCAGCACCGTTTTTTTAGACTTCCTTGGGAGCCTGGTGGCTTGGCTCTGGGCTAGTACTGAGACAGGTGTGGGTTTGATTTTACCCAGCTACCTCATCTCTAAAAGTCATTGGCTTGCCCAATGAAGCTCTTCCACTTTAAGTGTGCTGTGAGCCAGGCTTCTCGTTAACCTCACTCTCTAGTCCAGTGGTTAGGATACTAGCCCAGGCTGTAGGAAACCCTGGTTCCAACCTCTCAGCTGTTTGGCAGTGGTTTGTGCTGCGCTCCCTTACCTCCTATGCAACCATCCTTTGCAGTGCGCCATCCTTGTCCCCACCCCCTCTCTTTCTCAAGAGGCTGCTGACTTCTGTCACGCCACCAAGCCAGCTATTGGAAGAAAATTACCACAGACCGCTCCTACTGAAGTGGCCTGGACAATGAGTCTTTCAAACACATGCACAATGTTTCTCGCAAGTCTCATGCTTACTGGCATGTGGTCCTACAACAACCAGAGGTTCATTTTGCAACAACTTACCAAGAGTCATGGTGGATTCTTCAACACAGACAGTGTCTAAATCCAGACTGGGTGTTTTCCTAAGGGACCTGCTCGAGGAATTGTTGGGGGGCACTTCACTGGCCTGGACCATCCATGAGGTCAGGCTGGGTGAGCACAGTAACAGTGGTGCCTTCTGGCCCTGGAATCTGTTGATGCTTTTTGGCTGCTGCACCAGCAACGTTCTCCAGTCTGTTCACCTTCATTCGCTGCTGCACTTCCTCCCCTGGTTGCCAGGGAGGGCTGTTTTGAAAACCCAAAAGACACACCAAGGTAAAAATGCCACCCTGGTTATTCTATCCAGTGTGCAGCTTTACAGCCCTTCAGAGGCAGGACATGGCAACCGGGAGTCAGGGATATCATCTTTGAATTCTAGTGCCAGGAGGAGGTTTGGTAGGTCTGTATAAATCTGACAGTCAATCCAATAGCAGCATTTGCCAACAATAACTGGGCAGGTACCCAGATTCACCTACTACTGGACAGACCCAACAAAGAAAACAACATAATGCCACTAGCCCCCATCGAAAAACCTCTCCTACACATCGTCAAGGATCTACAGTCTATTCTATTGCTCTCATAGGCCTTGGGAGGCAGGCCAGTCCTCACTTACAGATAGCCCTCCAGCCCGAAACACATACCCCAACCACACATCCCACAACAGAAACACTAACCCAGGAACCAAACCCTGCGGCAAACCCCGTTGTCAACTCTGTCCGCACATCTACCCTAGTGACACCATCATAGGACCTAACCACGTCAGCCCTTCCATCAAAGGCTAGTTCACCTGCACACCAACTAACGCAGGGGTCAGCAACCTATGGCTCATAAGCCAAATATGGCTCACCAGGGAGCCAGATATGGCTATTCTGGAGCTCCAGCTTAGCTCCCACAGCTCCCTCTGCAGCAGGGAGTCAGTGCTGATGCTACAGCTTTGACTCCCTGCAAGATTGGCACGCCAGCGCCAGCTTCCTGGTGGGAAGCGAGGAGGGAGAAAGCTCCGAGCCTTCTCACCAGATCTGGCATGCAGGGAACAACATTCCTTCCCCCAGCTGGGGAA